TTCATCCAGGAGAGTGTTAAACCAAGCTGCTCCTTGAAGGCAAGGATTCTGAAGCTTCGTCTGACTTAATTTGGACATGCTGCAAGCAGGGACCAGACCTTGGAGAAGGACATCATGCTTGGGAGGGTGGAGGGACAGGAGAGGAAGACTCTCTATGAGGTGGACTGATTCAGTGACTGGGGTAATTGAGGTAGGTGTGTTACTGATAGTGAGATTGGCAAAGGTTAGAGCAAGGTTTAGGGCTCTTGTAGATATGGTCGCTATGAGTCACAGGCGACTTAATGAAACAGAACAACAATAACAAACAAAGGATTTATGCTGCCAAACCAAAGGCGGGCAGTTCAAATCCACTAGCTGTGCCTTGGGAGAAAGATGGACAATCTCCTCCTGTGTGATTTATAGCCTACAAAAACCTGCTGGAAAGTCAGCTATGAGTTGGTTCTGACTCAATAGCAATGAAAGAGTAACAAGTACTGTTAGCATAAGCAGGTTGAAGGATAAAGAGAACACAGAGGATTCAGGTGAGCATCACCTCCAGATACAGCTAAGCCAGTCAGGTGCACCAGAGAAGTCTACGGAGGAGCACAGGATGGTCCTTCCAGATCATCAAGAGCCTCTCTCCACAAATCCTGACCTAGCCTAGAGGGTAGAAACAGCTTCCTAGGACCAGAAAAATAATTATGAAAGGTGGAAAGAAGGTTGAGTGGAAAGATATTTCTAGGGAAACAGTGTGTGCCAACATCAACAAGCACGTTAGTGAGGTTCTAGAGCACACAGTATGCAAAAAAGTTTTGTTTTCCATTTAAGTTGAGATAAGGAAGGGCTCTGCTACTGGTAGGGCATTGCTCAAAACCAACTCTGACAACGTGAGGATTTCATGTGGGCAGAACTCTCGCAGTTCATTGAAAAGTACACAATGATAGGTCCAGCAGCAAGAGCCTTCACTGCATTCACCACTCCAAGTACTTGCCATGTGCCAGAACCAGGGCCAATCACTGGAGAATATTAGTGACTAGGTCCCAGCCCTTCAACATGGAAAACTTTCAACATGAAGAGATTCCTGCCTAGGATATGAAAGACAAAGAATACAAATGACAAAACACACACGAGGCCAACAGGAAAGTCAGGGACAGGTCAGCAAAGGCCTGCAGCTGCTCCAAGGGTCAGCAGCCCCAGGCTTCCATTACTGCCTCCTGCTCGGTGGTGCTGACACAGAGGCCTCAGGAAGAGGATTTGTTTGTGTAATTATGAGGATCATACCTCCTGGGCTGCTTTGGCTTCAAAATGGGTCATGAGTCAGAAAAGCTGTTCTGTTCCAGGCACGATCTGGTCACAGTACCTGGTGTTTGTTTCCTTTTCCACAGGGAGGGAGATGTCTCGCTTTCCTGAGAGAAGACCTGTAAGATTATGAGCATTGTGCAAAAGAATCAAAGTTCTTCTGCAGTAACAGGATCCTAGACTTCACCTTTGCATTTGGTGGGAAGTTCAACCTTGGCTTTTATCAAATCCATTTCTTCTATCTTTTGTGGTTTTACTGGATTCAGGGGGATCAGAAGGTAGCTAGAGGTACAACTGGAATTTAGTCACAGACTTTGCTATAAAAGAGATGAGAAGATACTCTTTAAAAAAAATATCATATTCCTCACACAACTTCAAGTTAAAATGAACTTCCTTTAATGAAATAAAATAAAAAAACCAAATGGTGCATTGCATAATATTTGTGGTCACAGTATAAAACAATACAATTAGTTCATATAACATTGGATATGGACAAAAATACACAAGACCCTTTCTTTGTCTACATAAAATTCTGCAGATCCATATGTGCCACACTAAAAAAGAAAGTCAACTCTTTTCTCCTAAGTGATCTGCACACAATAGTCATGACTGAGGATTTGGTCAAAGAGTGGAGGGGAACTTTCCCACATCCCAGTTCCCTTCATCCTCTGTTGTCATCAGTGAAGCTTAAAAAAAAAAAAGTTTTCTGAAAGTAGCAAGTCGTGGAGTATTGCTTATTATTCTTGCCAAAAAAGGCTCAGTCTTTGGCTCACAGATGTCAGTGACAGAAATCATGGCTGCAGGTAGTCTGCAAAGCGAGAAGTAAGAGCCACCAGGGAAATAGACAGGGGTCTGGGCAGGAGGGACCTCCAGCCCCAGGATCCTCGGAAAAGCCATGTGGGCAGGAGAGAGGAGAGGAGATATAGTTAAATAAGTTTCTAAATTAAGATTTAAATCCAGTTGGTGAGTCAGAGTTCCATTGTCCCATGAAAAATCTGAAAAGTTGTTAAGAAAAATGGCAGCGTTTGCATTTTTTATTCTTTTTTATCTTAGAAAAGTGAAAAACGTATGTAAACATCATAAAGTAAACAATTTAAAGTAATTTTGAGGCTTCTATTTGAACATAGCTTAGGCTCTTTAGGGGACATTTTTATGGTAAGGTGGGGAAAAAGAAACCTAAACATGTAGTTTCTTTATGCTAAGAAGTGCAATTTAATCTGGGAAAGTTGTGGCTGTGCCCTTCTTTCATTCATACCACTGCTTCTGGCTGGAACATCTTCCAGAAGAGCACTGTGTGGGGAGCCTCATTTGGTACAATGAAAGAGTGTCTGTCTCACTCTATGAAGACTCACATCCCAGGTGAGTTGATTTCCCTGTGAAGAACCAGACCCTGGGAGCAATGCCCAGAGATGGCTCCCCCTTCTTCTAGGTGGCTGGGAGTTTTCTTGGTCCAACGGGCCTACAGTGGAGCTGCCCCAAGTGATTCCAGCTTTGAACTGCAACATCAGTTTGAAAGGAAAGGTACGTCCCCTTCATCACCAATGAATGTCTGGTATAACCCAGGCTGTGGTGTTATCTATAATGGGAGTCACCTGGTCCTGTCCAAAGCCACATACTCCTTTACCCTACTGTGAAGGGCCTGCACTATAACAATCACTGTAATATCTTCTTTTAAGTAAGATGTATTGGCTGTTATTGAAATAGCACCTGTTTGTATCTGTTCTCACTTTAACTCTCAGTGCGATAATCTGTGACTCACCTCCTTTGAAATAGCATAATTGGGAAATGGCATGTAGAAAATAGGAAAATCCAGTGTCACCAGGACCTTCCTCTCTTCCTGTAGGCACTCAGCCTCCTGTGAGGCACAGGTGCTGCTGTGTCCCCATCGCAACAGTCTGGGATGCATTGGTGCTGCTCCGGCTAGCATAGAATCTAGTTTCTGGCTACATGGTGGCTGCTGCAGCAGGCAATTGTGAGAAACCTTGATAGCAATCTGCTTCATGAGGGCAACTTGCTGTTATGTGCAAGACAAGACGGATCATGGGCAGAGTGAGGGGAGAGGAGGGAGAAATAGTGAACCAGGAGAGAGGCTCATCTGGCCAAGGGACAAAGAGCCGCACATGAATGGCCATCATTTTTCATGACTTTATTGCTCAAAACAAACAAATCTTTTTTCCCCTTTGGAAGACAGAGCAATGTGGGATCCTTCTCAGCCAGAATCAGTGCACAGAGGACTGAAATGTAGGGCGTGAGTCACCAGCGCATATCAGAAAATCATACTGTGGTGGTTCTCGAAGGCCAGCTCTGTGCAGGGGGAGAGAAGCCCCAGAATTAGGGGCTCCCTAGGGAACATTTTGAAAGCAGGACACGCCAGGACCACATCAGAAGAGCTCCTCTGCCTACCATCCCACTCCTTCTAGGTGCAGTCAGGAAGAACAGATTGCTCTCAAACCTACTTTGCAGGCTGCTCACATGACAATAAATTGCTAGGTTTCATTCATGTTCCTAATAGAAAAGCAAACACATCACAAAATACACCCTTTTTCAGTGGCCCCCTGCAGGGTGTCTTAAAAAGACTTGAAGGACTGAAAAGGTCATAGGAAATGCGTGGTTCTTCTATGCAATTTCTGATTCCTTCAAGTCAGTCTTGCGAGCAGCAATTTGCTTTCATGTTAAGGAGCCCAAGTAACACAAAGAAGGACATGAGGTACCTGGGGGTGCTCTTGGAAGTTCCTTGGTGACCCATGTCTTGTGACTCCCAGCAAGGGCAGGAGAGGGGAATACAAGCGGTTTCTTTGCCCTAACATGTCCCCACATCACTACCCTTCCTGGAACGAGTTGTGTATATCTAACTTCTCAAGACCCCTTTTCTGCATTCCCTGGGGGCCTCCGAGTCAGAGGAACCTCAGGACTATTTGATAAGGATCTCTTCCTTTCCTTATTCTTAATATCCTCTTCCTTCTCCTTAAAGACCTCGGAGCCCTGGACAGGGGTGACTGTGTGTTTGTCTTTGTATTCACTCTTAAGGCTAAGGTGGTAAGATAAGGTGCTCGGTGGAAAGCCAGATTCTGGGTTCCAGGGCTGCCACTTCAGCACTCTCGCATGAAACAGAAAGAAAGGGGAAAGGGGCAGAGGCGCAAAACAAATGCATTTGGGCTCAATAAGAAGTTACATACTGCATGTTTAGATTTCAAACATAAACCCCTGAAAATAGGGGTGGGGCAGGGTAGTCCAAGCCACAGATGAGCTTCCAACACAGGTCTGGGTGGGGTCCCAGCCCAGGCAGAGGGGTGCAGGGGCAGCTCTTTGAGCACGTGGTTCCCCTGCCCTCACTCCAGATGCAAAGAACTCTGAATACCTTCACCCCTTCCTCACTGCAACCCCTCACAACACAAAGTTATCAACACACAGAAGTCAGAGGCTCTATAAACCAGTAGGAGGGAAAAAAATTAGACATAGGTTAACCATTAAAAAGCCGCAGCTGGGAAAACACACACTCGATTGTTATTTAAGAAAGTGCTGTGGGAAGAAGAGCTGTGTGCTGGTAAACATGTCCGCGCTCAGTACTTGACATGCAGAAAAGAGAGAGCGCCAAGTCCCACCTGAGATTAGAGAGGACTGGTTTTGAGTGTAACACCCTTCACGTTAAAAGATCATTGTCCTCTTCTCGCCCAAATCGCTCCTAGCATGTCTCTTGATCGTTCTTGTTCTCGGGTGCCAGCCTAGTCCATCTCCATGGACATGAGGCGGCGGCGCTCGCGCCTCGTCTCCTGGACTTCCTTCTTACAACACCAGTGTGAGCTGCAGTAGCCAATGAGGCAGGACAAGAGCCCGATGAGTGTGGAGAGACCGATGCCAATCAGCAGGGGGTACTTGAAGGCGTTCAACACTGGGAAAGAGAGATCAAAGGGGAGCCAGGTCAGTGATGTTGTGGATATGGCCTGCCTCAGGGTGAGCTGGGGCCTCCATCCCCCATTGGATGACCTGAGGGACTGGTCTCCTTTACCCTCTTCTCTGCCTTAGCCCGAACCTGGAGACAGGAGCTGTTGAAAAAAATGAGCAAATGTTTCCCCACTCAGTTCTTTGGGTGAGGGGAACCCAGAAAAAAAGATCTCATTTGATGCTTTTGAATGTCAACGTGCTTTTTAGGGTTTTGGCAGGAGATTGATTTTTAAAAGTCAGGATAAGGGCACTGCATATTCAGCGACAGATGCAGCCTTTAAAAAACCTGCAAAAATCAATTACAGGCATCAAATAACTGAAGTGTACTCAGGGAGCTATTTTAAGTAACACTATAGGAAATTAAAGGAGTCTCTTGGCTTCGTGGCTGAGTGCTCAGCTGCCAACCAAAAGGTTGGTGGTTTGACTCTACCAGCCACTCCATGAGAGAAAGAGAAAGCAGTCGGCTTCCGTAAAGATTACAACCTTGCCAGCTACTGGGCAGTCGTACACTGTTCTCTAGGGTTACGAGTCAAAATCAACTTACGGTAATGGGCTGGGCTAGGATAATAAATTACTGGCAATATGGATAAACACTCCCTTACTTGTTTGGTAAATCTAGATTTTCATATTGAGTGACTATTTGTATTAATTTGTGTGCGTGTGCCATCAAATCAGATAACTGGTATAGGAGAAGACTGCCCCTCCTTCTCCAGCAGAGAATCTGGTGGATTTGAACCATGAGCCTTCAGGATTGCAGCTCAGCTTCTTGCTACTAGACCACCAGAGCTCCCCATATTGAGTGACTTTAAGTAAGCAATTTCTGAGATGCAACTGTGGTGTACAGTATAATGCTTCAGAAATTCACCAACACTATTTCAATTTCACAAGCCCCAAATCTCCCCTCACAAGCTCCACATGGCCTGTGTCTCCTAGGTGAATACTGGGCACCATAAAGCTATTTTATGTTTAATAAATTTTACTTTTCACAACCACCCCATAAGAGATTATTATCCCCCTTTTACTATAGTGGAAAGTAAGACTCAGATGTAGTAAGCTGTAGAAGAGCTGAGGTTCCAGCTCAAGTCTCCCTTGACATTATCTATCATGAGGGAAACAAACTCAAAGGCTTCTACTAATGTTTGGAAGCATCAGAGTTTATTTTCTTAAAGGAATGATTTAAATTAACATCTACTTTCTGAACATTTTACACTGAAGACATTCATCTTGTTAACCAAGAAGCTTCTGTACTCATTCTGAAAAGCTTAGGGAGCAGCGGTGGTCAGGGAACAGGTCAACTTTGACCTGTGTGGGCCAAATGGCAGGGAGTTCACCCTCCCACTTTGGGGTGCACCCTCTCTTTATGAAAGGAGCCTCTGTTTTCCAAGAACCAAAAACAATTCAGGATAAAAGCAGTAAGTCCTCCTTTAACATACTTTTATCTGAAGACCTGAAAGCTGTCTCTCAACTTTGCTGTCCACACTCTGCCAAACCTGAGATTATCTAGTGTGTCTGCAGAAAATTTACAGAAGAGACACATCATCAACCATTTTCCCAGAAAGTGTTGGCAATCATTTCACAATGGTGCCAAAGCTGTGAGAACAAAAAGAACTGCTTTGTGCTCTTTCTGGGTAAATGCTCAGGACAGGTCTAGAGAGAAAGCAGGGCACACAGTGGTGCATTCCTCAAACTGTGGAAACCTGGATTCCATTAGTTGTATCACAGCATGGAGAGAAGGCACTCTGAACACTGGGAATGAAATATCTGTGTGTCATTCTTACCATCCATCTTCACAGTTATAAACATGGGCTTGGAGTGGATCTCTGTTTCCTTCTGCCAGGAACCTGTTGGTGACTTCACCCACGGAGTCACGGAACAGTAATAGTTGCCAAAGTCTTGGTCCTCGGAGCCATGCACTTGCAGCAAGAATTCCAGGACGCCCACACGCTCCAGGCTGAGGTCGCTCTTCCAGTCCCTTTGGGCTGTGTTCACAATCCCCTTCCGATCCAAGGAAGACAGGAAGACGGGGTCCTTATCCATGCCGAAAGAGTGCACAGCAAACCAGGACACATCAAAGGCCATGTCATCTATGAATGACCAAACACAGTGAGTAAGTGCAGGGGGCAATACAGCTAATGTGTGTTTCTCGGTGTTGGAGGAAGTAAAGCTAGAAGGCTCCGGAGAAGCAAGGATGGAGAAACAGCTGTTGTCAGGAGGGACTAATTTTTAGAGAAGAACATAATGCTAGGTAAAATTGAGAGTCAGAGAAAAAGAGAAAGCTCCTTCATAAAAGGAAGACCCTCAATAAGTGACTACAAAATGGGCTTAAATACAGCAACAACCGTGAAGATGACATAGGGCCAGGCAGTTTTGTTCTGCAAAACACGCGGATGCTGTGAGCTAAAACAGAAGTGGCAGATCTGACAACAACACGACGGGCTGGCACTGCTCTTTCTGCCTTGCTAGTTACTGTTCTGTTGACAGTCATCATTCTGACTCATTGTGATCCTGAGTGTGTCAGAGCAGAACTCTGCTTATGGTTTTCAATGATCATTTTCTAGATCACCAGGTTTTTCTTCTGAGGTACTTCTGGAGTTAGTGGCCAAATGCTTAATTGTTGCTATAATCCAAGGACTCCTCAACTTACCTTCTCTCGAAACTAAACACACCTCTGTTGAGTAGATTCCAGCTTGTGTTAACTCTCGATGGTGTTTCTAAGGCTATGAATCTTTATGGGAGCAGACTGCAACATCTTTATCTCATGAAGAGGCTAGTGGATTTCAGTGGTCGATCTTTCAGTCAGTAGCTCAACATATAGCCCATTATCACATTAGGCTTCTTTTTGTTTTAGGTCTCATTTAGTATTCACAACAACCCTATGTTCAAGGAACCATTATCCCCATTCTATGATGAAGAAAGAGATCTTCTGGGTAAGGAGGTATCCTGCCAATCTAGAGGTACATGGTTAGAATCCATGAGCACCTCCTTGTGAGAAAGATGGGCAATTTCTTCCCATGTGATTTACAGCCTCTGAAAACCCGCTGGACGGTCAGCTATGAGTTAGTTTTGACTTAACAATACCTAACAACAACCAGGAATCTAGCTCCAGAGGCCATTTACCTAACCAGGTCTACTACCCAGTCTAAAGAATCACAGAAAGAGTCAGAGCCCCAAACTTCCTCTTACGGATCATGCAGACTGTGTAGTTAAATAAAAACAGTGACTTGGTATGTTCTGTCTCTTAAGCAAAGCAGGGCCCCTGGATATTTCAGGCAGAAGAACTCAAAGCTGAAAGGACACAAAAGTCATGAAGAACAAAATGTACATAAAACAAATTACACAAAATTCAGAGCTGTAAAAACTTTAGGTTTTAATGTTCATTGTGGCTTTTTTCCTCCCCTGTAGAAGTGCTTGGGTTCAAAAGAAGAGAGAAAAAATGTCAAGCTGAGAATATTGAATACAGTTTAAGAGTCCCAGAGAGTAATGCTGCTGAATCGTAAAGTACTGTGCAAAATTAAGGTTCTAACAGTCTCAAATAAATTAATATGGGCATACGAAGACGACGACTTTGGCACAAGTGATAATTCTCTTAGAATGTGGAAACAGAACACACATTCCAAGCTCTTGACCTCTTCTCTTTACTGGTACCATCTGATACCAAATGTGTCAGCTCTGAGGCACAGGCAGCAGCCAACCAAGTACAAGGCCAAAAGCATTGCTTAAATCCCATGTCACTTGAGGCAGCTTTCCATGTACACTGATACACCAAATAATGCAATTTTTTTCAGCCCCTGAATTTTAATTTTTTTTTATAATTTCCATTCATTCATTGTTGCACACTTTCCTTCCTGCCCACCCTTCCCCCCTCAGTTTGCCTTTCTCTTTGACAAGTAAAACAAAAATTCTTTAGTAGAAGTATCTTAATAACTCCAAATAGGACATTACAAGGCAAATTCTATTCAGGGTTTTTTGTTGTTAGGTATTATCCAGCTGATTACAACTCATAGTGACCCTCTGAACAACAGCTGGGAAACTGGCCCTATCCTGTACTACCATCCTCACAATCTGCTCCATGCTGAACCCACTGCTGTAATCACTGATCAATCAATCTAATTGAGGGTCACAATCATTACAAAGGAATATAAGCAAAGCTAAAAGCAAGAGTTTCTAACAAAATTACCCAAATGATTCTTCAACTCACTGTAAAAATACGAAGGGCCACAGGCAAATTTTACCACTAACTACAAAAATGACAGCTCACTACTGTGACGCTTAAAACAGCATCATTTTCTCTTCACAGCAGAACATCTGATTGGTGTCACTGGAGCACCTGGATGAAAAGCATCTCTTGTGGAGAGAACAGACTTGCTGAGGGCAGAGAGAGTAGGAGCTGGTAGGTACCCAGATCTCTCTTATATGGCCAGTGAAAACAAATTGACCCATTCTTCTGTCACCTGTATGCCTAGAGGTGGTCAGTGAACAATACCAACTGTGTTCTACATTACTTTTGCCTAGATTCTAACTCCTGATCCACACTGTATAGTAAAACAAGACGTAAAGTAAAATTGAGTCTATTCTGGCTCATTGCATCCCTGCATGTGACAGAGAACTCTGTCCCATAGGGTTTCCAATGGATGACTTATTCAGAAGCAGATAGCCACGCCTTTCTTCTGAGGCAACTCCAGGAATAGTTGTTGTTGTTGATTGCCTTCGAGTCAAGCATGACTCATAGTAAAACTATGAACAGAGGGCCTGACGCCCCTCTATAACAATCAACATTAATCAAAGTTCATAGAGTTTCCAGAGGCATGTTATTTAGGAAGTGGGTGCCACTCCTGCTTCCAGGAATGGTAGCCAGTTCTATTATGAATCAGTAAAAAATGGCCTGAGCATACCCACGTCTCACTTATCAATATGTTTAAGTTGTCAGACAAAAAGTGATGTTATGTAAAAATAGATGATCTTATCAAATCACTGCTTCACCCCACTCACTTCCTATGCAGCCCTTGCTGACGTACTTGCCTCCCTGTTTCCCAGTATAAACTCAGAAGGGCTTGGACCCCACTGCCACCTGCTGAGGAAGGACTCATTCAGAGCCAGAGTGGCCCAAGTGCTGCCCCTTTTACCATCCCCAGATCCCCTCTCTCTCCTGCCCTCACTGTATTTTTAATAGAGATACCTCTGTGTCATCCCTTCAACAATCATTTAAAAATGCCCTTGGTGGCTTTGTCGGATGCAGGAGTTCCTTGTCCACATCGAGTAGGCCTGAGTGCAGTGGGGGAAGGGTGTATGCTGTTCAATGGGTCCTTGCACCAGGCTCTCATGTGAATATCCTCCAGTTCTGCATGGGTAGTCCTGGCTACATCTCCTTTAAAATCTACCATTCAGAGCTTTGGCCCAGATCATGATGGCCAGGATTAGCCTCTGCCCTTAATCTAAAACTGAGGCTGTCACTGGTCATTCACCAGTCCCCTGCATGCCAAGCAAGCATCAATGCAGTGGCTCTATGAGGCTACTTTATGACATCTATAACCTCCAGTGACCCTATGAAAAAATGGCTTTGAACCTTGCCCTATCTTTAGCCAACCTCACCGTCTCTGACACACCTGGCCCCATTGTCACAGTCACTGTGTCAATCCATCTCCTCTTCATCCAGAGTTTTCTTTATTGTTTTCTTTACTCTTACCCTTCCAAGCCTGAAGGACTGGTCACTCCTGACAATATACCCAAAGTATGTGAGACAGAGATGCAGAAGCCTTGCTTCCAAGTAGCAAATTGGACTTCCGTCTGTCATATCTATATCTATATCTATATCTATATCTATATCTATATCTATATCTATATCTATTTTTCCCCCCTCCCAAGTGGATTTTAATCAGCTGTCTTTAGATTAACAGTACAATTCCCTATGGACTATTTCACCAGAGTCCATAAAATGCTTAGAATTCTAAAACAGCTGTTGGATATTATAAAAGTTCCAAAAATGTTGGCTGACATGAAAATCACCATCTCCACAGCTCCATATACGGGCCTGCTGTCAGACAGATGCTGCTAACAGGAAGGGCATTACCTCTTGCAGCAGACAAGTTTGGTGTCTCACCCAATACCAGCTGGTGCACCAAGTCCCCACTGTTGCAGGTATTGGCTGGGAAAGCTCTCACACCTGTTCCTTATTCCCTAGACGACTGCCCTTAGCTACAGGAGCCATCTCCCAAAAGGAACAAGACACCTACACTCCACACTCACTCAATCTGCAGGCTATGGCCTTTGCTACAGAAATCATCTCCTAGTGAGTACAGACCCTCTTACTCCTCCACTCACTCAGCCTGTAGGCAACACCTGACTAACTCTGGGACATGAAATCCACCCTCACTCCATCCTGCCAGAAGGAGGCACTGACTTTGTGGTATTTACTCATATTCTGAGCTCCCTGTGGGGAGTTAGACTTGATTTGAACTCATATCTCTCACTGACTTCTTCCTTGGCTATTCCTGGTCTCCTCACTCCCTCACCCTTTTCTCCTGAGAGCTTGCCCTCAATTAATCACTTGCACACTTGTCTCCGGTGTGGCTTTTATAGAACCTGACACCTCCTCTCAAAGGGGAGCCTATCTTGGCTCAGCAGTACCCTGGCACTTGGCCCACTCATGCAACATGTTCTTTCAAAACAGAATTCCCTCACAGCCCATGGGATGCAAGAGGGAAAACAGATTTACAATTAGTACTTAATTATTTAGGCTCTTCCACCTGCACAGTCCAAGAGGGCAAAGTTCTGAAAAATTGTGATCTGCAAGATAACAGCTACCTATAGCATTTGCCAATTACTCTGAAGGAAAAGATTTCTTATATTAAGGGCACAACTGTTGACCCATTAATTTATAGAGAAAAAGCACTTAAAGGATTTATTTTTGGAGAAAGAACACTTAAAGGATTTGTTTTTGTATATCTAATAAATGAGCTTTAAGGATAAAAATGATATAATATTATTCTAACTTTTGAAATAGATTTTCCTCCCCTTTCCCCAGCAGTGTCATCTACTTGTGCCTTCATTGTCCCTTCTGAATGCCCTTGGGGGTCCTCAGTCCTCAAATATAGTATTTGTAGCTCATTCATGACTAAGATACTCTGCTTACTTTCATCAATGTATCTAACTGACTAAATGTGTTTGGATCTATTTTTTTTTAAAAAAAATCTCTTTCCTTATATTTTCTCACTAACTTTTAGCCTTTTCCCTATCCTCAAATTCATCTTCCTACTCTTCTTAGTCTGTCTTAGCCTGGAAGTTCTGCTGAAACCTGTACACCTACTACTGGTATTTGAAACACCAGTGTGACAACCTGGCAGAATAGAAGGAAAGGACTGGCAACTTATTGCTGAAGATTTGTTGTTGTTATGTGCAATCGAGTCACCTGTAACTCATAGTGGCCCTATGTACAATAGCTCTGAAGCTGGCCCTCTCTTAAGCCAGTCTCACTGACTCCAACACACCTATCCCTATTTCCCGGCTAAAGAAAAGCTTGTGGATCACACAAAGTTCTGTCTTACATAGGGCTGGAAGATAAATGCTATGTGCTTAAAGACATTAAAAATATGCAGTGACCACAAAAATGGACCCAAGTATACTGATTGTGAAGATGTCACTGGATCAGACAACATTCATTCTGCTATGTCATTATGAGTCAGAGATAACCCAAAAGTGTTGCAAATAGCAAAATTTCATATACAGTCAACTCTTGAAGAAAGCCAATTGAGATCAGCCAACATGTTCTGGGTTATTAACAGTCTGCAGATCAAATCAAACCTACCACTTGTTTTTATAAACAAAGTTTTATTGTAAAACTTTGGTTTTGTACTGGTACACAACAACAACAACAGTTTTTTTTTCTCTCCCTAAAATGGCAGAATTAAGTTGCTGTTACAAAGATCTTATGGCTCACAAGGCCCAAAATACAACCTTTACACAAAAGGTATGCTGACCCCTTAACTACTTGTCCTCCCTTGTGACCTTCAAATAGAGCTGGCCCTCAGGTGCTGACCTTCAAGGCTCTGGAGCCACTCATAATGCTTACTATCATCACCACAGACTACTTTAAAATCTACCTTTTAATAGAGAATAAAATCTGACTTTGGGGGTCCTTCCTAACATCGTACTTTCAGCAGTCTCTACAAAGAACTTTGCTAGCCCTGCACAATTCGGTTATTTCAAGGTGCATATTGTGAGAAGCGCTGGTTATGCCTATAATGGAGTGGGATAGTAAGAAAAGGACCCATGATTAAGGCAGACAAAAGCAAAAAGAGCAAACCACAGAGGTCAAGGTGGGCCCTCCACAGGGCAGGGAAGAGTAGAGGAGGGTCTAGTCCTGTTCAACAGAGGCATGATATATGCACTTAATGTCCTCGTTTAGGCCCTGAGAGACCAAGATTGAGAGTAAGGTATTAATCAATTGGTCACTGAAGGAGGCCAAGCAGTAAAGGTGACCAATGTCCCCACAACTTTTACACACGCTATTGGCAATGTTAATAATTTTCGCCAAGAAAATTTCTAAAAATTTTAACTGCAATAGCCCCCTCTTGGTCAGTTGTTACTCCTTTGCTTTGCTTTGTATTTCTTAACAGTATATACTACTATCTGTTATTTTATAGTACACACCAATTTACATTTCAGCTATTCTAACTAGTTTATAAACTCCATGAGTGCAGACTTTAGCTGTTTTGTTGAGTCATCTCTTCCTTGAATCTAGATTAGTACCTGTTCATAGAATCAGCTTGACATTATATGAAAGACAAAGTGAAGGAGCTAGCTCTGCCAACAGATTTCAAACTAGCTTGAATTAGCCCCAAGATAGTTCACTGATCGCCCTGATAATTCAGACTCAAACGTTTGAACGTGTTTACAAATTGCCTAAGAGAGAAATAGATGCATCCATTTTACAAGTGTTTATTAACCTACACACAGAGTACAAAGCACTGAGCGAGGCAGTTTGGAAATAAAGGAGACAACCCAACCCCATCTTCTGAATCTGTATAATACCATGGGGATGACAAAGCAATACGGGAAAAGAAAAAGACTGAAGGGAAGTACCTGGATCCAGTGCTGTACCTTCAATTGTGATGATACAGAACAATTTGATCAGATCCCCCCGGGTGACTGACGGTGTGGCCGAGTGCACGGAAGCATTAAATACAGGACCTGGAAGAAAGACATGTTGCCTCATTATTCTCTTTCACATTTTTACAAAACAATACATTCCCGACACTCTTTAACAGATCTCTAAATGTGGCTGGAAATGGGAAATGGAATGGGTCTAAAAACTCATAAAATAAAAGGTATTTTACAGTTTGGTTTTCTTCTATTGAAAGAGACTTAAGCATTGTTGTTGTTCTTAGATGCTGGTAAGACTCATAGTAACCATATAAACGACAGTTAGTTCTGAACCTGTAATATCCTGTGCTAGTCTCATCATCTCTGACACACTTATGCCCATTGTTGCAATCACTGTGTCAGTCTCTCTCATTAAGGGTCTTCCTACCTTTCAATGACCCTCTACCTTTGGTAGCATGATGTCCTTTTCCAAGGAATGGTCTCTCTTACCAACATGATAAGTATGAGAGATGAAGCTTTGCCATCTTTGCCTCCATCAAGCACTCTGGCTATACCTTCCCCAAGACATATCTATTTGTCCTTTTGGCAGTCCCTAGGATATTTAGTACTCTTTTCTAACACCACAGATCCAAGGCATCAATTTTCTTCTGTCATCTTTACTTACTGTCCAGGTCTCAGATGCATAGCAAATAACTGAAAAGACCATGGCCTGAATCAGGCACACCTTAGTCTTCAAACAGACCTCATTGCTCCTCAGTATTTTGGAGAGGTCTCTGACAGTGGACTTTCCCAGTACAGTACATCTTCTGATCTCATGACTGTTGGTAGCAAGGGTGTTGACTATGGATCCAAGTAAAATGAAATAATTGACCATTTCAATCTTTTCTCCATCTATCATGATGTTGCTTTGACCCAGTGGTGATAATTTTTGTTTTCTTGATGTTGAGATGTAGCACCCAACTGAGTTCCATCCCAACATTATAACCCAAACAGAACACTTCTCAAAGAATTCTTTTTCCTTTACCTCTCCTGTGGTGGCAACCACAGACTCATCTGAAGTTCCTGCTTGACCTAATATACTTCCCAGTACAACGTGCATTGTTTCTGATTTAAGGGAGTTCATTTCTAGGTCAAGGTAGTGTGGAGATTCAGAAGAATCAGGACAGAACCAGTAATGGTTATTGTTCTAACGGAGTGAAAGGGGAGAGGGTTCCTGCTAAGAGGTTGAAATCCAGTAAGGACATAGTCATGCCAGGAACAGCCAACTGTTTCTATAAAGTACAGTGTGAACACTGACGGCACCGCTCCAATATGCCCAGGAAGAGTGAAGCATCCCAGATATTCCTTTTAAAAAACTATCCAGACAGAATTTGTCCTGTATGCCACCCTGAGATACTTCACACTCTAATATCCAGTTGACTTTAACACAGAACTTCCTTTCCTTTTCTCAAGGCTAGAAGAGCATGCTAAGGTTGTTCATTGGGTCACTATGAGTTACGGTTGACTTGATGGTACCTAACAACAATATGGTCATCTTCCTCTTTTGGCAAAGGAGCTAGATATTCCATTCTCTTCCTCCTATTCCTTGGTTTAAACAGTCATGTTGTTGTTATTGTTAAGTGTCGTCGCGTCATATAAGACTATAGTGACCCTATGAATGAAAGATGTGAACACCTGTATAACTTTCATTGTTTCTCTACATTTATAGAGTTTCTGGAGGCAAGCTATTTTGGAAGTAGATGCCGCTCCTGCTTCTGGACTCTAAACCAGCTACTAAATGAGATGTTGGTATTAGAACTCAAAGTCATCTTGGAAAATAGGCTTCCAAAGGTATCTAATGAAAAAAGTCTTGCAATATCTATGAAGCAATTCTATTCTGCACACAAGAGGGCACCAGCACTCGGAAACAATAACATCTATGAACAACAATATGACTCCGTTTTAGGTAGGATAGTCATGTTTTAAGCCCAAATGGTCCCTAAGAACTCTGTGCTTACCTTAGCACAGTCTCTAGTCCCTAGGAACAGGCTACCAAAAAGAAAAGAAAAAAAAAAAACACTATGTGATTCCCTCTGGGTTTCCTGGAAAAACAAGAGAGATTGTCCCGGACACTGATTAAAAAATGAAGAATATGGTTGTTATTATTACCATCTTAATCAGATTTTCAGGAAGCAAAAAACACCTTAACCTACACTTAGAGATCCAGATAAAATGAATATGAGAAAAAATAAAAAAGGTCATGTAAGCAACCACAAGAGACAAAGAAATGAAGTCTGTATTTTCATCTGATAAGAGGACTTCTTAGAACTGTGCCTGAAAGTTGAATAATGAATAAAGATGACAGCAGAAAAACTGATGCCTTTGAAATTTTGTGTTGGAGAAGAGTACTGAGTATCTCATGGACTATCAAAAGAACAAACAAGTCTCTCTTGAGGAAGTGCATCCAGGGTGCTCCTTAGAAGCAGAGATGGTGAAATGTCATCTCACATACTTTGGGCATGGTGTCAGGAAGAAAAAGACATCATGGTAAGAATGTCATGGGGTCAGGAAGAAAAAGACATCACGGTAAGAAAGGCATGGGATCAGACATACAGAGGCATACCCTCAATAAGATGGACTGACACAGTTAATGAAACCTTGGGCTCAAATCCTTGCAATCCTGAGGATGGCTAGAGTAAGGTTCAGATCTGCTGTTCACAAGGTAACTGAGTCATCGTCCAGTTAATGGTACCTAATCTATTTCTCATTTGGAAAGTACCCAGTAGTCTCAGATTGCTTCCTTAACACCAAGTTATATAGAATTTGTATTTGGGGTGGGGCAGGGAAGTGAAAGATAAAAGAGAAGGACAGCAGTAGAACAGGGAACAGAAGAGGTTTAGGCAGCAGGGGTCAGTGCTGCTATGGGTTCTGAGTAGACAATGAGCAGTGAGAGACACACACACACACACACACACACACACACACACACACACACACGTCTTAACTCCCTAGGGACAGAGAATACTACAGAACAGCAGTACTGGAGAATGAGGGAAGATGAAAGCAAAGAGGACAAGGGGACTCTACTACTGCACACAATCCTTTCCATCACTCTCTGCAGTGGCTCTCATAGGTCCTTAGCACTCTGCATAGCAGTAACGATGCCAGTGGCTCTGGTGACTGGGAGTACTTTGTGCCATATGTAGCCACTTCTGAGTACAGGTTAGTGGCAACCACTGAAGGTAAAGGAGATTCCTCACTACCTTTTCCTTCTGGGATTAGGAATTATATGGTAGGAAAAAATAAGAGCTAGACTCATGTGATTCCTTAAAGTGTCCAGGTCCCTTCTTAGAGAACTCAAAATGCCAATATTGACACAAAGAACATCTTATAAAGGATTTATGTTTTAATTCACTGAATTTGAAATAGCAAAGAAAGATATCTAATTTGGACATATTTTACTTTCTCTTCTTTGTATTTTCAAACAAAACCCCAAATGCCTCCTAGGTCAGCACTTATGGTTCTCATATCCCCTATTGGCCATGCCTGTGGGGATCAACAGAGCATTTGTGCTGTGGCTCACAATACGGACAGGGTCTGGGGTAAAAGCCCTTCATTGTGGCGGGCTATTCATAGTGGTGCATTTCCTCCTAATGAAATCAACAGCTCACTGTTAATATGGGTCAGTATCCCAGGCTTAGAAAAATTTTCATTATGGTCCATTTCTGTAGTAATGCTGTTTTAATGAGAGGATTTGTCTGATTAGCTTCCCAGATAACAGACTATGGCATAGCATTCAAGTTAACTACCAGGCTCACTAGGGGTCACTCCACTCCTAGTCTGTGGTGAGTGCATGATGCATTTAACTTTTAAATACAAAATATAGCTTTTAAACACAGACACAAATCACGTTCCAACCCTAATCCTAAAAAAGCTGTTAATGGCAGTGTTTTCTTGAAAGCAAAAATTGCAGGTCATCTCCATGTCCATCAAAAGGGTAAACGGTTCACCAAATTCTGGTACACAGAGTGTTAAAGTTGCTATTTATTTACCTAGACATTACTGTATCAGGGGGAAATAACATTAAAAAGGAGGAAAAACACATCATAAAATTGTATGCACAGCCTGATTTCAAAGTAATGAAGAAAACATGCAAGGGAAAAATTCTAGGAAAATTAACAACACAAATAAACCATCTCTGGATGCTAAGATTATGGGTGATTCTCTTTTCCAACATTTTACTTGCCTGTATTTTAAATTTTTCTATTTTATGGAGGAAAAACTTTCTAGTTATTCTTTTAAAAGGCCCAAATAATATTTATCACATTTACCATGCTTTCTACCCTGACACTTTAAGTCAGGAAGCCACGACTCCGAAGGGTCTCTTGGGAAATAGCCTCAACAACAAGAGAAAAGTGCCCTCAAGTGGGGGACAGACAGGAAAGTCACAACTTGGGAGGATCTTTTTGTTATATGTGTGTCTTAAGGTGAGCTACTGATTTCTGGGAAATGAAAGGTCTTCAATTTTAAACCAGGGCTTACTGAAAGATGACTCAGAGGCCTAGCATTGTGCTGGCCACTAGATCTGATGGTAGCTTCTAATTAAAATGTGAACAGGCAGTGATAACTTTGTGGATTAAATAAAATAAAAACCCTAGGCAGTCTATTCAACCTGGAAGTTACAGTGATTTTATCTGTTATGCTTAGACTTTAAAGAATTGAGAAATAGACTCAACACTTATTTCTCACTGAGAAATACATATAAAAGAGTTTATGTCTCCCTCTTTCCACATAAGAGTTTAAAAGCATCAAATAACAAATGTAAAACAAGACAGAACTGACTCCTATGGATGCCTGCTTATTTACAGAGAGCAAAAGGGATAAACCCACAGGCTCATCTCCAATCTCCACAGACACAGAAATACCATTTGACAAGCTCCAGTACCTTCTCAAGACAAAAACATTCAATAAACTAAGAATGGAGGGAAATTTCCTCAACTAGTGGAAGGGCACCTATGAAAAAATCCAAAGCTAACATCATATTTAAATGTGTAACACTGCATGGTTGCCCCACAAAGATTGAGAACAAGACAAAGACACACACATCA